TTCTCTCTCTCTCTCTTCTCTCTCTCTCTCTCTCTCTCTCGCTCTATATATATCATATATTATATATATGATATTCCCTATTATCTACTTCTGATATATATATATATATATATATATTAGCGAATGCAAATAACCATTGAGAGCAGACACACAAGGTCAAGCGAGTTGCTCTAATGTTAAAAGAGTTAACAGCACTGGGGTTCATGCTAACACATATATCATGCTTGGGCTGTAAAGGAATAATTTGCAGGCAGTCGATATCTGAATGATTACGTTACAACGAGTCAAGCTCTTGGGAATATCTGATGAATATTGAAGAACCATGTCGAGACATTAATCTCGATTATTATTTGCTAGTCAATAATCTGAGAAAATTATGCTGCAAGTCCCTTGTGATATGACTGTAATAGGCAATGAGCCGGTCGTATTGACAGTAAAATGGATTAATACGTCCACGTAACATAAATGCCTACATATGACTAATTTTAGTGCAACTAACAGAGTTTTTGGTGCCATGTAATAATACGAGATATAATATATATATATATATATATATATAAACCTAACAATATTATTTTCAATCATAAAACTATCTGCAAAATAAAACTAAATATGTAATTTAACGCAGGAGGGCCTTTTCCAATAAATAATGTTTCTGGACCCGTGGTTAGCATCAAGGGTGCTTCGATTGCAAACCGACAATATATACTGTTCAATTCATAGAAATAATATAGATACACGATAGTCTAGGCCCTATCTATATTATTTCTATGGTTCAATCAATAAGTACCTGCGTATCGATATTCACTCTACTCGCCATGACCATATTCCATATGATAATCATTGTTATTCATTATCATGAGTGGACTGAAGCGAATGTCTAACTATAAGGACATTTGCCATGCAGACAGTGTTGGTGAAGGTGAAGAACCAACTTGTGTATAATGCGAGGTAGCAGCTGCACATTCACAGAATATCATAAAATCACAGAATAATCACAGATACTAGCATAATCTAGTCAGTGGTACTAATGGATTTTTCTGACGTTGTAACTTGATGTGCCACAGGGAACTGTCTATTATTCAACGTAGTTCAGCTTTTGCGCCTCTGCTCCTCTATATATCTCTAAGTGTTGTTCACATCTCCAACTCAGACGCACTTGTTAAATTTGTTACGGAATAAAAATCTGGTGAACCTATTGTGTTATACGCGCTCCTAAATCCTCTACAACATTATATACGCGGTATCACAAAATTAGTATTCAACGCCACGGCGTGTTCATCTAGGCTAAAGGAATCATAATATCTGTTTCTAGTGGGCGTACGCGTTCTTGTTGTCGCGGCTCGTATAGACCACGCAGAGTGTTATCTGGACAGCATCGACCGATCATTCATATGAAGTTGCAGGGACTATAAACTAATTCCGCACGAGGCGGTGTCGGGGTCGAATTTATCGATCCTGACCACCGGGAAAGGAACCACGATAAATATGAGGATAAACACGGTGCGTGCGTGCATGCTGGTGGCCCTGTGTGTGTGTGTGTGTGTGTGTGTGTGTGTG